ATGGACCATGAGGCTCCTCAGCAGCTCCCTGCAGTGGGAAGTAGTGAGATGTGCAGGTGAGGAGCCCCCTGGAAATTGTGAGGTGGGAGAGGGAGGCAGGTTGGTTGGGCTGTTCAGCAGGGGATGTGGAAGGAAAGCTCAGGGCAGAGGAGTGGGGACCTGGGGAGGGCACTGGAGTCACTGGGAGAGGGTGGCAGGAACAGAGCAGCTGCTGGAGGAGAGGAAGGTGGGGTAGGGAGGAAGGAAAACATTCCGCTGACCTGTTCCCTGTGGGGCAGCAGCAGGCAAAGGGGTCTGTGCAGATCAGCAGTGCTTCCTGGAACCTCTTTCTCTTTTGTTATCCATGTTCTAAAGCAGATCCTGCCAGGTCAGTGACATGAAGGAGAAAGTATCCAGATCACCAGGAGCTCCTCACTCCCATCCCTCTGGCTCCTCTCTGTGCCCTGTCCTGATCTTGCTCCCCAACGCTGGGTGGACACATGAGGTAGTGGGTGAGTGAAAAGCTGTAACTTTGCCTGCTTCAGAAATTCAGTTCCTCTGAGTTATTTCTCTTGGGTGTGAATTTTTTTTCTTCAGAGGAAGTGGCTTTTGTCAGGTGCTCTAAATGAAGATTTTTGTGGTTGGCTCCTCTTTCCCTCCTGATGAGAAACCCTCCTTCTCTGCAGAATGTCCCATTCTCCAACTGCCTTCCCTCTCTTGACAGGTTTCTACCATTCCTCTTTTCTCTTCCCTGAGTGATCACTGTCCCTGCAGCAGTAGAGGGATGTTGGTGGTGCTGGTGGCACTGGACTGCTGCCAGTGCTGGATGTGTAGGTGAGGCAGCTGGGTGCTTCTGAGAAACAGCTCCTGTTCCAGGAAGTGCTTTGAGATCATTGCCTAAACATGCTCTGGGCTGAGGAAGCAGCTGAGCTGCTGAGGAAGGTGAGCTGCTTCCTCCTCATATCCCCATCCCATCCTCATCCTCATCCCCATCCCCACTCTCCATCCTCACCCCATCCTATCACATCCCTCAGGTTTCCCAGATGGAGCTGCTCCCACAGTCCAAGCACAGCCTGTCAGGCTGTGCTCTCCTCCAGTGGGGAGAATGTGGGTTGCCGGCATCCAGAGCCCCTCCAACCAGCTCCAACCCTCTTCTGAATCCTGTGAAACCTCCTGCAACACCGCAGACTGTCCCTGGGGCCCCCTCTCCCACCCCAACAGCCCCACTCCTCCCCTCTTCCACCAGGGAGCACAGCAGTGTCCCTGCTCCTCCTGGCCATAGTGTTCTAGGACCCAGGATAGAGGAGGAAAGCTCAGGTCCCCTGTGCTCCTCAGGATCTCTCAGGATGATAAATGCGGCAGGAGCCTACTGTAAATGCAGGGGAAAACAATGGGAAGAAATGACAATGTCAGACTCAATTCAGAAGGCTGAATGATTTCTTTATTATAACTATGCTAAAATACATTAATATACTATATAAAGGAAGATACTAAAACTACAGACTACTTTCTCTAACTATATATCTAACTCTAATACAACTCATGACCCTCTCTTGACAGTCCAGACATAGGTGAATTGGACTGGCCATCAGGCTCAAACAGTCTTCACCAGAATCCAATCAAACACTCACTCCAGGTAAACAACTGTGGCAATTGAGATCAGCAGCATCCAGAGCCTTCCTGAACTCCTCCAGACCCTTCCAGAACCCTCCGACCCTTCTGGAACCCTCTGACCATCTCCAGTCCCACCCCAGGGCTGCCTTTTCCCCTAGGACAGCCCCGCTCCTGCCCTGCTCCACCTGGGGCCATGAGCAGTGTCTCTGCTTCTCCCAGCCATTCCTGCTTTTCTACCTTGAACTGAACAATTTAGCAAAGAAATAACAGGAACAGATTTAGCTGCAATGGTATCTCAGGCCTTAACCTTGCTGCCAGGCCTGACCCACGGAGGTGTCTCAGGCACTGAGCAGCTGAGAGAGCAGCATTTCCCCACATTTGCCAGAGCAGATGCTCCCGTGTGTGCACACAGACAGGAACAGTCAGTGCAGGGTGCCTGTGAGAAATTCCCCGGGGAGGCAGGGAAATGCTCCCTGCGGATCCCTTGGCATCTCCTCACCGTGCCAAGGCTTGGGCCTCCAGCCCTGGGGGATCGGCCCAGGAGCCGCC